CTGACTTGACTGCATACAGTGCTGTGCGTTAGCAGTAATTATATAGGGCTCATCATTCTCAGTGCATCATCCTGCGTTAAAGCAGAGTGGAAAATTGGACAGACAGATGGTTGAAAGCAGTCATGTTAAAGAAAAAGGTCCATTTTGTCATTTTAAAACCTTGGGTTTTGAGAATTTAATGATTAATTTGGCTATTTGAGTCAGAGCGTTGATGGCAGCTGGTTAAAGTCGCACACCAGGGGCTATGTGCAGCACGCAACAATTCACATATAAAGTGCACTCAAGGCCTGTGGCAGAGACAACATTTTCTGCAAATTTTACTCCTCAGAGACATAGGTTTTTTTCAAGTGGTAAACAATGGTCGCTAAATCTCAACGCTTAAGCTAATAGCATTGAAAGAAATCCTTAAAGTGCTCAGATTAAATAGAAGACTGTCTCCAAATGGACTTTGTGGTAAGACTGTTATTAGAATAGCAAGAGCAACCGAATGCTGCTTAACAATCCACAAGGAAAAATGACGCAACAGTTTAAATTATAAAAGACAAAGAAGTATGGCTGCAACCAACAACAGTTTTTATCAGTTGATCTACTGCATTTTTCCCAATTAATGGATTTTTGTGGTCTGTAAAATGCTGGTTTGTGAGAAATGGCCATTACAGTTTGAGTCCAAGGTGGTGACGTCAGCTCCAAAGATATGTTCTTTCAAAAAATAAAAAATAAATGTAAAAGCAGCAAGTCCTTATATTTGACCAGCTAGAACTACAGAATAATTGGAGTTTTTGCTGAAAAGCAGACAGTCACTTATTTAAATACTTGCAGCTTTATTTATTTATTTATTTATTTAATATTATTGTTTTTTTTTTAGCTTAAAAAAATACTGACTAAACATTGCAGCTCTGCATAACAAGCATTGATGCATTTTGCTGTCAATATCTTTTACTTCTTCTTTACCTTTTCTTAAGTATACTCTTAAAGGACCAGTGTGCATGATTTAGTGGTATTAAGCAGTGAAGTAGCAGGTTGCGCTGGTCTTTGTCTATATTAAATCTTCATTTTAGCCTTATTGTACTTTTGTATTGCTTGTCTTGCTTCTTTTGTGCCTCATTTGTATCTGGCGGCTGTAACATATACATTTCCCTGGTGAGGGATCATTAAAGTTTATATTATGTTATGTTATCTTACCTTGCAACCAACTCCTGCAGACCTAAATTTAAAAAATAAAATAAAATAAAAATGTGTAGGATAAACAACTATAGTTTAGGATGGATAGGCCTTCTCTAGAGCCAGTCTGGGAAACGTGGCAGCACAACTCCATTGAAGACCTGTTCTGTATTTAGATATAAAGTGCTCATTTAGAAATTAGAAATACTACATTTAATTTCTGCAAATAGAGCCCATCAAATGTTACACAATTGTTCTTTAAAGGCTGGACTTTTACTTAAAAAAATACCATTTTTAAAAAAATTAGTGCTTTTACATAAGCATCTAACTACGCCCTCCACCGCTGCTGACTCTACAGGATGATAAATACACAGCATTCCACATTCAGGGCAGATGGTGTGTGTGTGTGTGTCACTGCAGTCCAGCTCAGAGGTATGTTTCGCCACCATTTGCTCACAAGTGGTCTACTAAAATAACAAACAGAGCTAAATGACCAAACATTGATTTCTAAAGATATAGTAATTGCAGCAGACATCCTGTATTCTGCAATAAAGCCTATAAGAGCGGACATGAAAACTGAACAACTGAACAGCACCCCGTATGTAACATTGTGCTTTCACCTAAAATTGGCGTGTGCTCTACGGCCGTGCAGTAAGGAGATGTGAGTGGCTGCTTGTCACTGAAAGCAGCGAGTACAGAGGGTGATTCTCAGGTCAAGGTGATTTGTCATGTCAAGCAACTTTTCACCTCCAGTTCTATGGCTGTTCACCAGCCTGACAGCCTTCAGCAATGCCACACTGTTTCCTGGCTGCACTTCATAATTGATGAGGAGGCAGGGAATATGGGATTTGATCCAGAGTGGCGGTGCCTTTCAGGGCCTGGGACAGATGCGTGGAGGTGCTCGGTTTTTAACTCTTCGTCTGAAATGGCTGTGAGCACCAGTGGTGAAGTAGCGGTAAGATAAAAGACATAATGACTGTTAAAGGTGATTGACTTCTCGGGGATCATATATGGCAGCGGGGTACGGTACGTGGGACGCAGCGCTTTAATATGTACATTCTATCATGCTGCACAATCCGCAGTCCTCCATATTAATGCGAGAACAGGGGATACAGCAGGATGGTGGTAATATATCAAGATTGTGCTTCACATTCAGACACAATTATACAAGTTGACAATGGTTTGGTATCTGGTCCAGAATATGAATTTGAATTTTGCATTTTCTTGTGTGTAAAGGCTTTTACTTTGAAATCCATTTTCTCCATACGCATTTTTCATCATTTAAAAAAAAACATAACTTTGCGTGTTTAACATGGCATTAGAAAATGCATCCACAAAGCCTTTGAATGCACATTTAGAATCTTTAGTGTTTGATAATGCTATCAAAAATATATTTATTTTTCAGAATCTAATAAACCAATTTCCCAAACTACTGTCATTAACACGTTATCAAATTCACTGTCTACAAGCAGTTTTCCATGTGCACATTGTCAAAAAGACATAACAAAATGACAATAGGTGGCTGAAACACTGCAAACAAAACCCCTATATTATGAATTTAAATTGTGCATTTTCCTGTGTGTAAAGATTATCAAGCTTTTTACTTTGACTTTCATTATCTGCTTACAGATTTTTAAACTCATCACCAACAGTTTGTCTTTTTAATGAGAAAATACACAAAACATGCTAAGATGAATCTGTATGATGTTGTTGGTAATGTTGAATACAGAGCTGCAACTTTAAAACAATAAATTGACCAAAAAATAAATTAAATGTTTTTGTTTGTTTGTTTGTTTTTATTGATTAATCATTGCAGTCATTTAAATGCCAAAATGCTGAATGGTTCCAGCTTATAGAATGGGAGAATTTTCTCCTTTGTGTGGTGGTATACATAAAATATTTGAGTTTGGGCCTGAAAAAAAAATACTGTGGATTCTAGGAGGTTGGCAAGAAAATAACTGGCAGCTTATTCAATAATGGACACAACTGTTCAGTGTTGACTGTGTAGATTTTGTAGAAACAGCATATTTTCTTCTATTTATATGTGGTCATATAGCAAAGTTCTCTCATGATTAATGCATTAAATTCTGCTCACAATCTACCCTGTTCTATGATCTGTCTCTGCTTAACGAAGGGAGCAAAGCCCCCAACATAAAAGTGATTAGAGTTCTTTCTCAAACTGTGCACATCTCATTTATTTTTTGCCCTCTCACTCCTGCTCCGTTCTCTCTTTCTTCTTTGCTCTTCTGACAATTTGTCTCCCCTGTTGAATTGAAAGGGACAGCAAGCTTCCAGCTAAAAAAGCAGACAAAAATCACCGCCAAAGTCTGGAGACATTTTTAAAACTTGATGTTTGAACCTGTGAAAAACTACAGTTTTATATCATTTGGATCTAATAGCAGGTGAGGAGTGATGATTCTGGAAGGGCCAGCAATGTCCCAGATTGAAACTGTCATTAAGGGTTATTGAATGAAATCATTTGATGAAGAGTTGGTGAAAAATACCTAATTTTAGTTTCTATTTTTAAAGACAAATCCATGGCTATAAGCCTCCAAAGGCAATAACATATGTAGTGAGCATTGTCTTCAATGATTGCTTTTTTATTTTTTGTTCATAAATATTCTAGCATGCTTTTAATTGTGTTATAGGAAGGCCAGCAAAATCTAATACTGATGATGGATGTAACTGGAGGAAGAAAACACACTTCTTTAATCTTAAATTCTATTTTGTTGCACTAAGCTGCTTAAATCTCTCACCTTACACATTTATGTCCACTGTGCGTTTTCCAAGAAGCCCACCTGGCATGAACCTTTAAAAACTAAACTAAATGGAATCTGAATGTAAATAAGTTTAATCCTGCATTTTGCATCTATTTTGGAAGGATACAACGAAGCTTTTTCCAGGAGCTATGCAATGTAGTAAACAGCAAACAGCTGTGGTTATATAACTTTTTTTTTAGTATTGACGTCCATAAAAGAGCCGTTGCATAACTTTCTGTGTTTAACATGGAATTAGAAAAAAACGTACTCACTAAGCCTTTAAAAACACATTTATAATCTTTAGTGTTTGATAATACTATCAAAATACATTTATTTTTTACAATTTAATTAACCAATTTCATCGTCTACCATAGCAATTATCAAATTCACTATCGGCATGGCATTTTCCTTACACAGGTTGTCAGCAAAAAAGGCAACAAAATGACAATAGCAAGGTGAACCACAGCAAACAAAAGCCCATCAGGAGTCTCAGGAGACATGTGATGCGCTTTAATCTTCTTCTCTTTTGCAAAGCTTTTTTCTCAGTGGGTAATTCTCCTGTAATGTGGAGCAAACGGTGCACTGCGCACACCACCGTTCACATGAAAACCGTCACAAACTGGCCACGCACACCTGGAGATCAAGTGGATCGGAAGGGAAAAAAAAAGTCCTCATGTGGACTCAAAATGTTTGCTCTTTATTTCAGAGCTTTTAATAAATAATTCAGATGCAATGTAATTCTAAACAAGAATGACATAAAGACCACAGAAAGGCTTTGAAAGCAGCAATGAATAGTGCAGGTAGAAAGTGTAGGTATAATTAAAGAATGCAGCAGAAAATAACATTGATCGTGTGTGTGGGTTAACATCAGATAGAATAATCACATAAAACAGACAAAAATAATTTAAGACCTCATTAAACCAATTAGGCATTAAGGAAGAGACAAACACCACTGCAGGCATTATGGGGTATTTGTAAAGCTTATTGCTATATTTGAAGGCAAAAAACAACAACAGTACAGGATCACTGAACAGCTGTAGTAACAGTCAAAGTGGCCAAAAGAATCAAAACGAAACTCACCTTAGCGACCCTGTTGGCGACCTCCCGGCCCACCATCAGCCCCTGGACAAACGTCCGTGCAGCGATGAAGGCCCTGGTGACCTGGGCCTTCAGTTTCCTGGGCACATCTCCAAAAGGTTTTAGCTGATCTGTGTATTTACTGACGCACTCCAGGTAGTCATCTGTGAAGTGGTACTGGGAATTGAGCAGCTGGAACATGCGCTCCAGCAGCCGGGACCAGAAGTCATTCAGCATCTCCTCCAGGTTGACGTTGCCCCCCGTGTAGTAGCGTTTTAGCTCAGTGAACAGGTCCTGGAATACCTCAGAGTTCTGCATATACAGCTTCCCGTACGTCCGCGTGAACATGCTGTTCAGAGACTTCTCAGAATTGTCCAGCAGCTCCAAGAAAAACTCTAGATGAATGGATAGTTTGGGGAGAGGAGGGAGAGGAAGGGATGGAAAGGACATGCAGCTGGGTCATTAGGCGGATATTTACAGTATCTGATTTCTCTTCCAACAATATAAACCTAAAAAAAAAAAAAAAAAAACGCTTCACAAGCACAAGAGCATAATCTACTCACGGTACCGTTGTTGTATACACTGTAATTTAATGGCTTCTTTTATGGCTCCGTCTGCACATACAGGAGCAATGTATAGCAGCCAACAATAGGTACTTGATTATGTGAAGAAAGTCAGTCCAAAGCATTAATAATTTAATAGCAGAAATAATGGGCCACAAGGACTATGAATGATTAATGTAAAGGTTCTGATTGCATACTGTAACAAAATATTCATAAGTTTTAGACACAGACACTAGTATACATTATCATCCTGGGCACCCACCATTATTCCCAGACGCATTAGTTTCTCACTGAAACAATTTATTTGTCCACTGAGGCAGCTGGCCTATGAGCCTATAATTGAATATTGGGTTACAGGAGGTTTATTCGCTTAGAGATATCCGAAGAGATGTTACAAAATTTCACTGCAGGACAAGCACATCTATTTAATTTCTATTATTATATTTGCCTTTCATTCAGTATATACACCACTGTGTAACGCTGTTGCTGAAAAATATATACAGGGTTAGGGTTAGGATTATATAATATAATAATAAAATTTCAGCGTGAAATTTGAATTATTCCTACTTTTCACATGCAAATGATCTATAATGGTTCTGCACTTTAAACACATGCAGTATTGCTCAGTGTAGTGTTCGTGTGACATTATACAAAGGATTGGGGGTCTAGCTAGCTGTCTTTCACACACCCTAAATGTGACGATGGTAAAAAAAAAAGAAAAAAAAAAAAAAACAGACTGTGAAAATTCAACAACACGTAGGCCTGTGACCTCATCACTCTATGAATTACACAGTGATATGAATCACAACATGGCTTAACGTATGGAGTCCCACAGGGAGTGTTCAAATCACAGATGGGACAAAGAAAGACTAACATTGTAAAATGTTATGCCCACACAGATACTGTAATCAAATTACAGTAGCAACATTGTCCGTCAGATCCGAACATGCAAACTCACAGGAGAACAGTAATTTCTTTCTTGTAGTCATAGCATATATAATCAATAAATTCACCAATGACAGATACATAAACTCTGATCTCCTTAAAATTAGAATTAATAACTTCAGTTGGTATTTATGTGCTGATTTATATTACAGACACAGACATCAAAATGCCCAAATGCAACAATGCAATTCAGATTTAACATTCACAGCAATTATATTATTGTTTCTTTGTCATCCGCCCAAGTGGCTTTCTTCCATGTGAGCACCTGATCTCTTGAGTATTAACTCAGCCAGCAAAGAGAAAAATAGACAGAAACAAGCAGAATTAGCTGGGGAGTCTCACTGAAGCCTGGCTAATAGGATCCCATGTTCCTGAGTGCAAGGGCGTAAATGTTGAGAAGATCATAACACATCTCTCCAAGCACAAATGTCAAATATTCCTCCACCCTCCTTTGTAAACAAACACACTGCAGACATTTCACGTGTCACGCTTGCTAATAAACCATTCAAGGCTCCTCTCCCCCGGCTGGGTATTCTAGCTGGCTGACATTTCTTTGCATGGTTAATGATAACAGTCACACCCGTACATGGTGGTCATGTCTTGTTCTAATAATAGATTTCCAACTCTCTGATAATATGATGAAACCATGAGGCAAAATGAATCGGTTCACATATTGCCTGGTGTATATATACAGTGGAGAGTCTGTAAGCAACGAAAAAAAAATGAAAATGAAAAAAACTTTATTTATCCCAGAAGGGAAATTCAAAAAGGGAAACAAAAATCTAAAAATCATATAGAACACTTTATTAATGCAATTAATTCATTTACATTATTAGATATATAGATATGTATAAATTGGTAGTATCATAATTGTACATATTTTTATTGTATCTTATATGTAGAAACAGATATTGTATATTGTACATATATTAAGGAAACTGGAAATTATCAATCAATAATTTATGGAAAAGGAGTGGGATTAAATAAGTGTTTTTTTTTACTTCTCACTCCTTTTCGAATACGTAAACCTAGTCCAGAATTGTGGAATATTTCTCTATGTAATATTAATTCTTTGTTAACTTGGTACTTGTCTTTACATATTCGAAATAATATCTCAATCAATCAATCAATCAATCAATCAATCAATCAATCAATCAATCAATCAAGAAAATCATGCATAGTTTGAAATGTTGTTAATTTTATTTTAGAATAATTTCACATGTTGGTAATAGAAATAAGGCATTATAACATAATTCCCTACTACAGGATAAATGACAAACTTAAAAAAAACAAACAACAAAAACCTAGAAACATACACAAATCAATATAACTACTATTTTTTGTAAATTGTAAGTCGAGGTATTTCAAATGCTCATGGGAAAAGTCAGTGTTGAAATGAACTATTGACCACATCAAGTGGGGAGAAAAAACCACTCTCTCTACAGCTGTGTTGATGAGTCTGACACTGAGACGACAATCCTGAAGCCTGCATAATAGCCCAGTGCTCTGCAAAGCGTACACAACCATTAGCGTGTATGTCTGTTCTGTAACATAGCATATCTGCATAAACTCTGTTCTATATGCTAATGCTACCAGCGGTTTGCTTTCAAGCCACCAATATTGGAAGGAAGTATATGTTAACACGAGCCTTTTGACCAGCTTATGTATTCGTTTTTGTTTTTTTGAAGCTCAGATATCTTTACTTTCTATTGAAATGGCACAGCATGTCCACAACTTAAACAGCCAGGAGACCAATCCCTCGTCACACATTCTAGTTTCTTTGCAACCGAATGACCTGCCATTACACCAACATTTGTTTAAATATTACGAGCCTGCAGGGCCTTTTTCATTCCATTTTTCCAATTAGATCTGAATCAAGGACATGTAAGCCCTCGTGTATTGTGCATGCTACATACTGTCTGTGTTGCCACTGAAAGTGCTCTCAAGATGAGTAATAAATGTGGAAGCTAAAAAGCAACATTGCTTATGTATTAGTTGGAATGGGGATAATTGTATATTAGTAAAGTTTAGAAATACTTATATTACTTAATTATATTCCAAAACGTGTCTGAATATTTGGCCGGGGGGGAGGGCAGGAAATTTCTTTAATGCTACTTGATATTGTGTGGTCCGAGTAGCAGCAGCAGGAGAAGCCACGTCCAAGTCAGAGGTCCATCTTAATCATTTCATAATGAGCTTTCACATTTTGAAACTGCACCAATGAAAAGAGCGCAACTGTATTCTACTGTGGAGGAAAAGTAAAGAACAAAAAAAGGATAAGAATAAGAAAATTATTGTTACCAACCTACATATTTCCATTAAAAAAAAACAGCAGTTTGACTGTTATACATGCTTGTCTTCCTCACATAAAGTAATGCCCATATGTCTGTGAAATAGGCTGAAGAAAAAACAAACAAAAAACTGAGATGTTTTTTGATCTTTTATAAAAGATGATGCAGTCCATTACCATTATTCCCATGAAACTAATTAAGTGCTATAACTAGGAAAGGCCTAAATAAATTGTGCCAAGGAGAAAAATTCTCAATGACATGAGCGGTTAGAAAGAGTTCACATACTGTTCTGGGCAGTAGTGTGAAGTGTCGGCTAAAAGGTACTAAATATATAATGTGACCTGTCAAAATAACCGGTGGATGTAGACCACATAAATGACTCTGATAGTGCTTTACTTGTGCAGGCACAAGCCAGAGATGACTGACAACAACCTCAAGCATCGCTATGGTTATTTGCAGCTGACTACAACCAGCTGTGGTCATGTTGCTGAATTGTGGTTATTGATTTCGCCATCAAAACTATGCTAAATGACATGAAATAATTTACTTCGTTGGACTTAACAGACTAAAAATCCACATAATATCTGGACAGATCTCTGCAAAGGTGAAGGTGATTACAGTTTTCTCTTCTCTTTTCGGTGCTGAGGTCTAATGATGGCAGCCTTGGTTGATTGATCCTGTTGGGTGTGAGGTGCAGCACCTTCTCTAGAAACCACTTGAAGGACTTTTAGACAGTTTTCTTCACACCATTGACTGTGATTACAGCATCTGTGCTCATTTGAAATAATGTTGGGAAATCGTTTTTCGTACTTTTACAAACTTTTCTTGCTCATGGTATATGTTTATTATTTTTTTAGATAACCACATTATAAGCTTTTAGCAAATTTAACCAATAACAAGAAGTGCAGTTGTGTATTCTGAGCCACCAGTTTTTTTTTTGTTATTTTGTGCATGCATCTTGGGTTTTTGTGTGATTTTGAAGCCAGTTACCTGGAAAACAGTGTGTGCTGAGAGCTTCAAATAGCAGCCACAGCTTGCCAACTCACGAATTGCTCAGTGAAATGCTCTCTGCTGGCCAAAGCACATATTTGGCCAGAGAATTATCATTGAGAGTTATTGACCTTGGATAACATTCAGCCACTGGACCTTCAGTGTCTCAATACTTGGAAACAAGTTGATACATGTGTGTCTGCTTACTGACATAATACATTTAGGAATCCTCCCACATCCAAATCATTCAAGTAATGAAGGTTCTTTGAATCAAGTTGGAAAAGATGCAGCAAGGAAACTGAAAAAGTTAGAGAAAAAATGTTGAAATATAGTTTAATTCAACAAATTCAGCTCATTTAAAAAAAAAAAAAAAGAAAAGAAAAAAGAAAAATTACATTATGCAAAACAGAATGAAGTGAGCCATAGACAAAACTCAGCCACCATTTAGAATTTCATTCATGATATTAGAAAGCATTACAAAATAATTCTTAATATGACAAAATTACCAATATTATCATTGATTACAAGACTGTATGACCAGAAGAGCTCTTCACTGCTTGCATTAAAAATTCTAAGCCTCTTATCTTTTGTGTACTGATTTAATTC